GTCGATCTTTCGTACACTTTCTCGATCCGGTGATCTTTCAACTTGAACTCGTGCTTTAGAGGGAGGTGGGGGGGCACCGGTGATCTCATCGAGTTATGTGCAATGACATGATCAACTTTATGCTGCGAATTGATCGTGTGGTTAAATCTCTCTAAATTTTCGGCTCTTTTGTATATCAGGGTTTTATCAATTTTGAATTTTCCCTTGGCACGTTCCCCCTTCCCCGTCTCTGCAAAATCCCATGTAAAATATGGCCAACAGAAAGTCAATGAAACGAGCTCGCCGACACACGCGTCATGACTCGCGTTTATCCCCCGTATTTTCGGCTATTTGCTTTGGTCGGGCTTCGAAATAATTAATGAAAATCATCGCGGCCGTACGACGTATAATTACACGCTCACAAGCGCGAGTGTTTGTCCGCCATGTTGGTGCGGCCCGCAAAATTACGGCAATCGGAGCCACCGATCGGCCGGGTCGCGCTTGACAAAAATAACGTCGTGTCTTCTCTCGTCGCCTAGGCGAGCCGCAGAACGTAACGTTATTCCGCTTCGGGGGTCATTGATCTTCCTCTTTTTCTTCTCGGTAGACGGCTCCGGCGAGAGAGAAAGAGAAAATGTGCACGTGCGCGTCCCCGCACAAAGGTGCGCGTACTCGGCCGGCCTTGTAGTTTAAATGGCGGGTGAACACCTAATCGCGGTCCAAATTAGAGCGGGCGATAACTGCGGTAAACGACACAGCGCACAAAGGCGACGAGACTCCGTCGCCTGCGACCCTTCGTAATTTCGGATGTGATGCAGCGATTTTGTTTTCGGAGCGGGGTGTGAGGCCGACGAAAAGAGCGCATATTCGCCGCGACTCGTTCGGCCGCTCGCTCGCTCGCTCGCTCGCTCGGTGACGCCTTGATGGATGAGAAACAATAATGGCAGCGATTAGAGGCTCTCGCAGGAAGCGCATTAGCGGGCCCACCTCGTTCGTTCGTTCGTTCGTTCGTTCGTTCGTTCGTTCGCTCGTTCGTTCGTTCGTTCGCTCGTTTGTTTGTTCGTTCATTCGCTCGATGGTGCGTTTCTCTCGCCTGCTGAAGGCGAGCGTCGAGGACGGATTTGTTTTCGCGGAGGGGGTTTACGCATTCTAAGGATTCGTGACATTCAAGGGGCTGAGGGATTCGGAAGATTTAGGTTTTCATGAAGATTCTGGCGAAATATGCAATTGGAATCCTCGACTTTTGAAACCTGTCTTGCGTAAGACACTCAGATCTGAATTCAGAGACGTGTACTTTCCTCCCAGTTATGAAGCAGTTACATTTTTTTCCCCTATTCGACCCACCGCCATTGGTACTCGCGATATTCAGCGGAAAAATTCACCCGCAACTTTGAACTCGCGGCTGAGTGATCTCACGAGCGGTGAATTTCAAGTTACGATTACGAACGTACAAAGGTGGGTAGCGGCTACCTGCGAAGGTAAGGCTGCGAATCACGTAGTTGCGGAAACTCATTTTCAACGGATGCACACGCGTCCTTTGAAGCGTAGTAGCTCATCGGAGGAATCGGCGAATGCAGTCGGAGAGATGCAGTCGGGACGCCGCGCCGCGGCATCGCAATCTCGCGAAATGGTATTATGCACGTAAAAAATACATCGGCAAAGTGGTGCTTTTATGCGTGCTGAGCTTTAAGACGCGACCGGCCAGACGAGATGCGAACTTGCCTGAAAGAGGAGTGTACACATACAAAGAGAAATAGAGCAGAGAGGTCGGAGGAATATCTCTCTCTCTCTCTCTCTATCCATCTATCTATCTCTCTCTGTCGACTTTACATTACGTTTCCCGAAAGAAAATGGTTGAAGCCGGCGAGGAAAGAGGGCTGGCGGGGCGGAAGGGGGTCGGACGATGGAGCAGCGTAAAGCAGCGTGTTGAGGGCAAATTAAAGAGGAGCTCGCGAAAAAAGGGGAGAAGGGTGAGAAGAGGCGGTGCGGATGGAAAAGGAAGGCGCTCTCGCTCTCGAGTCATTAAAAACGCGCTCGTCGTTGTGGCCATTAGAATGACAAATGACGTCGTTGACGGTGCCAAATTAGTACGATGAAAGGACGACAGACACCGCGAAAGCCCGATATGACGCGACCTGCAGTCGTACGCGTGCGCACGCACGCACGCACGCACGCACAGCTGTGTGCATGAGCGCGCGCGCGCGCGTGTCAGGCAGTTTGTAAAATCTCTAAAAAGAAGATTTACCGTGCACCCGCGCATGCTTTCTCGCGCGTGCTCGCTATTAAAGCGGAGACAATTATACCTCTCGCCTTTGTAGACCGTATAATTCGATTTGCAATGCGATCAACTCATTAATATCATTATCGTCGTCACTGACGTCGAAATAACGCGACACAGCGGTGCCACGGCCGATTGTAATCGAATCGATATGCTGGGAGAAAGGAAACGCGACAATCCTGGTTATAATTTCTCTCTCTTTGCTCCGCGTTTTCACGTTTTACTCCGGACCGGGATCGCATTTGGAAATTGTCTCAAATTTATTCTCGAAGCTTCTTCAGAGAGGAGTCTCAAATCTAAACTAAATACTGATCTCTTCTTGCTCTCTGTTTTTTTTTCTTTGTAAGCGTGACGTTTTCATTTAGATTAGTTGCAAATAAGAGAGATAAATGGAATTAATGGAACGGAAATAGGAGATAAAAGGAATTTTTTTTATAGGAAGATTAAAATTCTTTTATTTGCTGTTTCTTTTCCAATTTATTTCCTGTTCCGTTATTTCACCTCCTCCCCTGTCTACTTTTCTTCTACGATTATATTTAATCTATTCTATCAAAGGGACGATTTCAATAAGTAAATAAATGTATAATGAAATAAATGAACAAAAATCTGCGCGTTGTTGGCGTCCCATCCGCGGTTCGGTGGTGAAATGATCGATTTCGCAATTTCAGAATAGAGACGCAAGTCGCTCCGCGGTCCAGCTAATAAACGAGTCCGGCGGGGGCGGATTCCGTCGGTCGACTTCGGTCTGCGCCCAATGTTGCCTACTTCTTCGATGTATATTCATTTATTAAGATTAAAGAGTATTTATGGAATCTCCGGAGGCTCCCCCCCATTAAGCGCGCGCGAGTCATTGGATTATTTCACAATTACCTGAATAATTGGCTCCCATCGAATGTTCCGGCCGGTTACTGCAAATTCTTGGTCAGTTCTGCCTCTTCCTCACCTCTTCTTCGCCACGATGCTGAGTCTCGACAATAATTACAAATAATGCAATTTTCCTCAAACTTGCTGGCTGTAGTCGCGGTAATCGGGCAATTTCGACCCGATGCGACTGCGCGCTGTGCCGAGCACGCGTCCTCCGTAACAACAGAATTACGTTATTACAGAGAGAGATTATGTCTTTCCCGCTCGGAGAGGAGACAGAATGGATGTTTCGATGAGAGGCGGAGACGGAAGGGGGGAGGGGAATATTGCGAAACGGGTTTAAACGACAGAATCTCGTGAAAAATTCTCGTTTTCGCTTCGCTAAAAGTTTTATTTCGTCCGTCGCGCCCTTTGGGCCCGACGAGTCTCTCTGTACGTGCGCGTATGTGTGTGTGTATGTGATGTGTGTGTGTGTATGTGATGTGATGTGTGTGTGTGTGTGTGTGTATGTGTGTATGCACGTCTCGTTGTGTACATGTATGCGCAGGTGCGTCATGTCCGTGTGATTGTAAAATGTACGCGTTTTACGTTACACCTCGCGCTCGTAGTCGCCTACACGTGTGTGTTTTCGCAATTAATACAATATAATATGTATAGTTTTGTTACTTTTTTTTTTGTTCTTTATCTATTTCGGTAGCATACAAAAGGATACAGGCACACAAATATCAAATATGCATCCGGTATTCGTTTACGCTATTGATCAATATAATTACACTCACAATGGTACCGCGCCCCTCTCCGCGCTCGCTCGTTCTCACTCTCTCTCTCTCTCTCTCTCTCTCTCTCTCTCTCTCTCTCTCTCTCTCTCTCTCTTTCTCCCTCCCTCTCCTTCTCTCCTCTCGCGTTTACGCTAATATAATACAGTTATATACAAAACGTGCTCGGCCGCTCCCGCGGCACGCACCCACGGGCGTAATATTTATAATAGGTTTACACATACGCGTATGTATAAATTACAGTCGCTATATACACCGAGAGATCGAGAGGAAGAGAGAGAGAGAGAGAGAGAGAGAGAGAGAGAGGGAAAGAGAAAGAGAGAAAGAGAGAGACTGTGCGGCACGCGTGTTAATACCAGCCGTCCGGCTGGAGAGCTTTCCTCTACTCTATCGCTTGTGCTAAATCTATGATAAACCATCGTCGCCGTTTGCTGTCGCCGTCGCCGTCGCCGTCGCCGTCGCCGTCGAACCTGCTCGCCGCCTCGGCTTTCTTCGCCGACCTGCCATTACGCCGCGCGTCCGAGCCTGCGGTATCGCTCTCTCGCGATCGCGATCTCGCGTGTCCGCTCGCTCGCCGTCCGCGACACGCCGAGTTGTTAGTCAGCTAATTCCCCTCGCGCCGGAAATCGCGGTGTCACGCGCGTCGATCGCGATTCGTTCCGACGCGGATCGCGGCGCGAGTCGAATCGCGGAATTAGCCGCGGCAAATGATAACGCGCATCGCCGATTGACGTAACGAGAGAGGGGGAGAGTGACTGTGGCGGACACAGACACGCAGTGACAAGAGGGGCTGCAGGGAGAGGGAATGCAGAAACCGTGTCGTAAATCGAAATTTAACGAATGAACAGTCGCGCGCGCTCTCTCGTTGGCTGTCCACGGTGATTAAGAGGAAGGTGCGACTCTCGCGCCTTCACCATCTTTTTCTCTGTTATTTTCTCAGTTTTTTTCTCACCCCCCCCTCCCCCTCCACCGTTGTCTCTCGACGCGATACCGCGATCGATACCGGGTGACTCGCGATGCCACCCGCGCGCGTAATGCAGCTCCGGGATGCGGCCGATTAATCCGAGACCCGAGCTTAGACCCCATCCCCCTCTCTCTTTTTGTCTTTTTTTTTTTTTACGATCCTGCTCGTAGAGCTCGCGCGTGTACGCACTCACATGTCCTCCCGTAAAGGATGAGCCGGCCCGCGCCACTTTCCGCCCGCCGTCGCCCGCCTCGGTCGTGCACCGCGAGCTTCTTCCCGCATTTCTCATGTCAGATAGGAAAAAGGGTTGCGTGTGTGATTTATGCCGAAGGGAGAAAGAGACAGAGGCAGAGAGAGAGAGAGAGAGAGAGGGAGAAAGAGGGAGAAAGAGGAAGGGAGAGAGAAACTTCCCCCGATCTCGCGCGCGGCTACATACCGATCGCGTCGTATGTCGCATCGCGGTCATATCGGTATAGACCGCGCGGCGGTATCGTCGGTTGTATCTGCCCGTCCCGCTGCTCCTCCTCCTGCCCTCGATGGCGAACGGAAGAGGAAGACTTACGACTCTGCGAGAGGAGCCGGGCTTGCAGCGGGTGCAAGGAACTCGTATACGCGGCGGCGGCGGCGGCGAGATGGCGAGATGGCGAACGAGAGACCGCCGCGTTATCTCGTTCCGATGATGTTCCGGGCGCGAGAGTGCGCGCGCGATAAGAATTTAGCGGGGCGCGTTTATGGTAAGAGCGAGCGAGCGAGCGAGCGAGTGTTCTGCGCGAGAGCGAATCCGCCCTTCGCACCTGGAGGATTATTAACGTCCCTCCCGTCCTGACGGGGATAACTCAAAATTACGAGCGTGTCCAATCCCGGCCGGCTCCTAGGCGATAGATAATGGCGTCCGGTTCTGCCGTCTCGAACTAGTTCCCGCGGCCAGTTGGAGCTCGTTGCTGTGCTGTACCGGTCTCCCATTACTTACGTCTTCGAGGAGTAGTGTCTTTGTGTCCCGGAGGTGCTCTCGAAAGCTCCGAGAGCCGGGGCCAGCTCGCAAGGGTATTGTCTCGCCGCCGTCGCCCTCGCGGCCGCCTCCCGTTTTCGGGAGGAATAGAAATAGAACGGAGTAAAAATCTATTTTTACCCGCGGCGGAGAGGAGGGAGTCGAGAGGGCTTTTACGCCGGAGGATGTCGCAGGAGGAGCGTCGACGAGCAAGAAGGAAGGAAGGAGCGCGTCGTCCTAGAGAGTGAGACGTTGGGCGAGACGCTGGAAGAGAGAGACGGCTGTTGACAGTTTCATGAGTCGGTTGGACGCGAGAGGGGAGGGGAGGGAGGAGGAGGAGAGAGAGAGAGAGAGAGAGAGAGACTGATAAGTCCGTGTTAACAGTCGTTGCTCGGAACTTGTCGCATTCGAGACACTCGGATTTGAGTTTGGAGTCTGACGCGAGTTCGTCGGCTGAAAAATGGCGCAATTACGGTGTCAGCTGTATTATACGTACGATTCACCCGAGAGAACTTGAGTCTCTCCAACTCTAAGCCCTTTATTGATTAATGCATCGTTATTGATGGCCGTTATGCCTGAAATTCATCTCGTGCGAGACACTCAGGCCTGAATTTAGAGATGGACGTGAGTTTCTCGGTTGAATCATGCCGACGCACGTTATCACGTCGGTGCGCAGAGCATTTGTCATTTTTTCCATTAAATTCTCTTCTGTTAAAATCTCATGGGGCTGAAATTTTCGCGTCACGAGGAAAACGGAAGGTTCTCGTTAGGTACGTAAAAAAAAAAAAACGTCGAGTGAAAGTCGCTGCTCGTAAAGACGGCCGACTCTCCGGAATTAGACGCAACTTCGTTTCAAACCCTATTTCACTTGACAAGCACGTGACAACCCCTCCGCGCACTGGTTTAATACATTTGCCAGTGCGGTTCGAGCGAAGAGCGCACAGCAAACTCCCAATTCGGATCCTGCGCGTCTCACTTGCGACAAGTTTCAAGTGACGGTTATTAATACCGGCCTGAATTCAGACCTGTGAGTTATGGCGCGCACGTGAAATAAGCTTCCGCTAGCGATTATTAATACGGGTCCTGGATGTCCTGCGAGCACAGGCACAGGCAGGAGAGTGTCTCCCTTATCGCTCCACACCTCGGCCGGGCTCTTCCTTGGGCCTCGGTCTTTTTTCCCTTCCCGCTTTGTACGAAGCAACTTTCCGCCATCTGCCGCCATCTCTCGCTTCTTAGACATCACGGCGACGTGAGTCACACGTTACGCGTTCGCTCGCGACGAATTGACGATTATTGCCGGCAACGGGCAGTGTGTGTTCGCCGAGGCGCTCGGCGAATTTTCCGCGCGGCGCGGCGCGGCGCAGCGCGATAATCGGCGAATCGATCGCGGTGCCGTCGAGCGAGAAAATTATCGAGGGCCGACGGTGGTGGCGACGACGAGGGCGACGAGGAGGAACAAGCTCGGCGAACGACGCCGATCTCTCCGCCGTTGCCTCCCGAGGAGAACGAAGAAGAGGAGATCCGAGAGGAGGCTTTCCTCCTCGCCTCTTGGAGATCTCCTCCTCTCGACGCGAGCCGTAAACTCTCCGCAGACTCTTTTTCTCTCTATTACGATTACGATAACCGCTTGTACGCTTGATACATCTCCCGCTCTCCTAAAAGACGACGATTATTATTGCGACGAAATTATTTGCTCGGTGCCCCCCAACTTAAGGCGCTTGAAGAGAGAGAGTACGTGTGTGTGTGTGTGTGTGTGTGTGTGTGTGTGTGTGTGTGTGTGTGTGTGGATGTGTGGATGTGTATACCGTGTGTACCGTGTGTACGAGGTCCCTAACGGTTAATATTTACACTCGAGAAGCGTTCGAAGCTGTCACTCTTAGTTTCTGAGTTTTACTGCTTTTTTTACGTTTTCGCTTTTTTCGTTAATTTAACATCCTACGTGGCGATGATATCGATTAAACACTAAATAGACATAGCAATGTTCCGATCTCGTTGTTAGACGCGCAACGCGCCGCTCTTGCCGCGAAAGGGCGCGCGACCTGCGCGGAAGGGTGGCCGATTAAATTTCTCCTCGACGAGGCAGACTGTCTCGCGGCTTAATCGAAAAACCGATACGCTCGCTCGCGAACATTGCCCGTGCAGGTATTCGGGATAAAAATAGCGGAACGTCAATCACGAGCATCGCGCGCGCGGTACGTACCGGTTTCGGTCGACGCGACGCGTGCACGTTGCGGAGCCGCGTTCCCGCGTTTCCGCGAGAGAGGGAGAAAAACGGACGAAAGGGAGAAAGAGAGAGAGAGAGAGAGAGAGACAGAGAGGAGAGAACCGTCCGGCGAAATGAGAGAAAAATTAAGCTTAATAGAATGGGGCCCGGGTAATCGAGGAAAGTGCGGCGGCCGACGGACGACCAAATAATCGTACGTGGAACGCTATTTAAGCGGCCGGGCGGTAAAAGCGCCGGACGAGTCTTAAATTTCATGCCACGTTCCACGTCAGATATTTAAACCGGTAATAAATTTTGCGCGCCACACACAGGTGGGAGAAAGAGGAAGGGAGGCAGAATGAGAAAGAAAGAGAGCCCGTCGCGCCGTTCGTAGACTTGGCTAGCTGGCTAGGCGAAGAGTGAGAAGAAGAGAGAGTGCAGTCGCTGCACTTTACGGCCGCTCTTTCGGAACGAAATCCGAGAGGAGAGGGATGGAGTGAAGGAGAAAGACAGAGAGAGAGAGAGAGAGAGAGAGAGAGAGACAGAGAGAGAGAGAGAGAGAGAGTAGTTTCTCTCTTGTCCGCGCAGGGCACGCTTAAGCATATAACGTGTCTACATACGTGTGAGACGCGCGAGAGCCCGGGCTACTTGCCGTTATATCACAATGTGGTCGAGTTCTTTTCATGTATTCTGTAATCGCGTGCGATATACCAGATTACACTTTATCCCCGTGTATGTATCGAGAAATTGTCCCTCCTCTTATACGCGTTTTGCTCAAATTTACGTACACATGTAGTTATTGTTGTCTCATCCCTGTATTGTCAGTTCCTTACGCTGGTAAATTCTCGATTATTCCTTTTCCTCGTTGCATGAAGGCGATGTCGGTAGAGATAGAGAAATAAAGTTGGGCTTATTACAATCTATCATACGCTTAAAATTCGTCGTCGTACGAGATACGTATATTACTTTTGTATGTGTGTGTGTGTGTGTGTGTGTGTGTGTGTGTGTGTGTGTGTAATATATATATAAAATCATATTTATATATTTATACATTTATACCAGATTATACTTCATCCCCGTGTATGTATCGAGGAATTTTCCTTTCTCTTATACGCACTTTGCTCAAATTTACGTGCACATAAAATTATTGTTGCCTCATCGCTGTATCATCAATTCCTAACGTTAAATGGTAAATTCTCGGTTATTCCTCTTCCTCGTTGCATGAAGACGATGTCGGCAGAAATAAAGAAATAAAGTTGGATTTATTACAATTTATCATATGCTTAAGATTCGTCGTCATACGAGATACGTATATTATATGCTTTCATGCAACGAGGGAAAGGAATAATCGAGAATTTATCAGCGTAAGAAATTGATAATACAGGGATGAAGCAACAATAACTACATGTGTGGGTAAAATTTGAGCAAAACGCGTATAAAAGAGGAGGGAAAATTTCTCGATACATACACAGAGTGTATCGATAAAGTATAATTTGGTATAAATATATAAATGACTACATATATACATATATATATATATATATATATGTAGTCATATTTGTGTATTTATATATTTACTTTTCTCGTATGTGTATAATGTCGCGCGTGTCTGTGTATGTACTATATGTATACATATACATATAAATTAAAGGTTCGTCACGGGCGCAGCGCGCGACAATAAATAATACGCGACTGACGCGTGCACGTCGCGCAGTCAGGATACTGAATTATTTATGTGACGTCAGTCTTGAGTGAGGCTTGGGATCGAGGCTCGCTACCGTTCTCGCTTTTTTAAATATCGTCACGTCGATCTGCCGTGCGCCGCGGCTTTTTTCATGCCGCCTCGAGGCTCTTCTCCAGCCATTGCTGCGCCCCCGGCCGTCGAACGTCAAGCGCCGCGACGCCTGACGTTCGTTCGAGCGCGCGAATAATTGAAACGCCCGCTTATTCCATCAAGCTGGCAATTAATTATCTTTTCGATCCGACGTAACGATCGCAGCCACCGGATAAATATCTCATCCGCCCCGCCGCTCGTTTCTCCTTCCCCTGCTCGCTTCGCGTTTCTCTCTCACTCATTCTCCCGTTCCCTCTCGTCTTCTCTCTCCTCTCCCGCACGTCTGGATCGATAGCGAGCTCGATCACCGTTGCACATGCGCGCGTCCAACGGGCCGAATCGTTAAAACGCGACTCTTCCTGGAGATTCGTCCTGGAAACGCGTCTCTCTTCGCGATGCCGATTTCGAGAGAAGAAACGTCCGCGGAGCGGAAAAGGCGACGTCTCGCAGCCTCGATGCGAGTTGTATCGCGAAATTTTCCGAGGGCTCGTTCGACCGTTTCCTCCTCCGCGAGGGGAGGGGCGGAGAGGAGGAGGAAGAAGCGGAGGGGGAGGGGAGCGCGGAAAGACCGCGAAGGAAACGCGACGCGACGGTCCTCGCCGACGAATCTCCGCCGGGAAGAGCCGAGTCTGCGCACGAGATGCGGCGCCTTTCGCCGTGAAAAATTGATATGCCAATTACAGTATATAATAATTCCGATTGTTACGCGGCTCCTGTACATATGCACGTCACACAGCTATCCCGCAGGAAGATAGTGTAGGTCGAGTGTCTCCCTAAAAAAAAAAGGACAGGAAAAAAATGTGACCGTGCAGCGAGGTCGCGATTACATTCCTTAACGCGCTCGCGCGGAAACAATTCATATCGATGGCAGTGCTGGTCGAGAAGGGAGCGACTCGGTTCCCCCTTTTAGGACGCAATGCGTTCTCGCTTCTGCCTCCTCTTCTCCGCTGTCTTCTTCTTCGCCTTCCTCCTTCGTCCGTTGCCGCCCGGAAAGTCTCCGGACGAGAGGGGAAGATATCGTCGTTGTACAACGAAGCGGGATCTCACACGCGTCGCCTGCCGCTCGCAGCGTTCGCCTCGAAATGCACAACGAAACGCGGCGTTTTCGCCACCGCGAAAGAGCGACCGCTCGATTCGCGGATTCTCCCTCGCGTCTTCGTGGCCACCGGCGGCTTTATCTGCTCGCGCCTTTGTAGCGCGAGCCCCGCGCGAGAATCCGCGGGAGCCGCGACGTGCCGAGCGGCGGACGCGCGCGGAATCGAGTTGATTTCGTATAAAAAGATTTTCTTACAAGGTAAAGCCGCGTCTCTCGGCTGCGTGCAAAAGGCGATTGGCGACACGCAGTTTCCGTTTGTTGTCGGTGAGTGAGTTGGACCTGGACGGTGTCGCGCATCGCTTGACGAAACGCCGCGGATGATTTCTTTCGAATTTCGTTCCTTTCTTTCTTGTTTATCGTCATTACTCTTTTCCTTGCCCGAATAATATCAAATTCGGCTAAATCTGACGCACTACTTGTGCAAAAAACGTGGGCGTCGGTTAATCAGACCATTCTGGCTAAACTTAACATCATCTGGCGGAGAAGAACAGCAGCGGCGACGCAAAGAGCACTGAATGATTTTTGCGAAAGCAATGAAGATTCGAGGACGCTCCTGCGGCCAAGCGTTGACCTGCGCCACCCCGTCCACCTAACGCTCATCGCTGACGAAAGCGCGCGACGAAAGCAGAGTGACGATAAGAAAAGAGTCAGAATTTTCGCATTCACGCTTCTCCCGCTCGTCGATTAGCGTCGATTCCGAGCGCGATCGCGATTTCGCGAGGATTCCGAGGAGAGCGCGTACGCGCGCTCGTCGGCGGACAGCGAGAAGTGGCACAGAATTCCAGAGTCGGAAGATCGCTCGCGGTGTGCCGGGGGCCTCGCTCGATCACGCGATCTACCTCGGTCTACTCGCTGTAACGAAGTATCTTCCACCGTACCTTCGATCCATCCGCCGGCTTCTTCTTGCTCGTCCTCCTCCTACTACTCCTCTTCCTCCTTCTCGTCGTCCGTTGAATGTCCCGCGGGCTGCGAAGAGCAGCCCTTACGCGTATCTGTGCAAGGAGTGCTCGCGGCGCTTACTACCTCGGCGCTCGCGCTCGCAAACTGGTTCCGGACTCGGTGGATTCGAGTACGTCAGGTTGCTGGAGCCTCGAGGGGGCGGCGCGCTCATGGGGGGCGGCGGCGGCGGGAAAAAGCTCTGCAAGCACGCCTAATGCATCGAAAGAGCGCGTGAGACAACGCTTGCCGCTTCTCGTGTCCGCGACGACGTCATCCGTGGGACGAGGTGTAATCAGGTTGGCGCGGACGATCTCTGGCGCGTTTATACGAAATCGAGCTGCTCTCGGGGAGCAGCTGACTGATTTGGACGATTAAAAAGGGAATGTAACGGCTGGGCGAATCTCGTCTGAGAGAGAGAGAGAGAGAGAGAGAGAGAGAGAGAGAGAGAGAGAAAATAGCGCGTCGAGGTCGTTTGTTTTATTTGCCACGGACCGGGTAATCTCCGTTTGTCTCGATTTTACCTGTGACCTTTCGCGACAACCTGATTTTTGTCGTTCCATAAATGCCGCAGCGAGCGAGAAAAGTAGTGCACCTTGCGACGAGGACATTGCAAATGTAATTGGAATGTTTGAGAGGGTTAAATGATTTTCTTTCCTCGTTCTTTTAGTCGCGTAGACATAGACAGAAAACAATCGTAATCAGTAATCCGACGTGAACGAGACTGGAACTTGGCTCAACGCGATTAAGAAGGGAGTTTTGGTACTTGTCTTATTTTCGCACACTCACATTATAGTTTATTGAGCTTTCGATAATGTGTACAACGAGGGCAAGTTCAAGTACAAGTAGGATTTTTCAAATAGTTCGGTTCGTTTAGTTTTAAGTACGTCGATATCAAACAGGTATAAATGTTAAGAAAAAAAAATCCGAGATCCGACATCGAGGAGATTTGAGTCATCCGGTCGGCGCGATTGAAAGAGGAATTTTGAGCATTCGTCTGTCAATTTGTCAAGATAAGTTTCGATAATTCGGCGAGGGGACATTGTAGAGGAAATTACAATTGTCCAGGGAGATCCCTCTGTTCTTCATCTTTCAACCGCGCGTCGCTACGGGACAAGTGCGACGGCTCGGAAGGAAATTACAGATCGGCCGTGAAAGAAACCCGAGCTTGGCGGAACGCGGCCGAGAAACGGATTTTGTAGCCTACCTTTGCGCTACCCCTGGAGGACGATTTCGAGAACACGCTGTCCTGATCGCTGCTTACGCTAGGCACGGGCATTGGTACTGCGTAGTCATAAGTGGCATCTGCACAGCAAAAAGACATCTTCCCTTTACATCGCATCTCGCGTGCATATGACGCGCCATTGTTCGATGCGCATTCGTCGCGTAATTAGGCGTGCGCGATCGTCGAACTCGAAGAAGACCGCGCGGTTCGACTTCGAGCTCGAGGAGCAACCGCGTGATTTCATTAATTAATCAACGGCGGCCCACAATCGACTCGCAGAAGGGCTACTTCGCGTTCCCATTCGCCGCGAAACGTCGCTGGTGTTCTCTGAGTGCCACAACTACTTACCAGACTGTTCGACGTTGTCGTGGAGGTCTTTGTTGTCTATGACGACCGTGCTGTATCCGTAGTACGCCGCGTGCGGAGATTCCCGATATTTGTTCTCGTGGAAGGGCTCTTGGTACTCGTCGAGTCTGACGTCGCCCAAGAGACGATCGTTGAGATCGCGCGGCAGAGTGGTGAGCTTCGTGCCGGCGTACCGGTCGTCGAGCTCCTCGACCCTGTAGGTCATCAGCGAGGGGTCCTTCTCCGTGGTGCCGTAGGCGGATTCCGGCGACAGATGCTGATGATTGCCAGACGGGATCGCGCTCTTGGCGCCGAGCGGGCTGGCAAAGTTCTTCCGCTGGCGGTGACGCGTGACTATTAGGAATATGGCGACCGCCAGCAGCAGTATCACCGCGGTCAAGATGCCGATGATCACGGCCATGTAAGTCGGATCGTCCTGCTTAGCCACCGGAACTTCGGCCTGCAGCGGATTGTCGCGGGTCGAAGTTCGGTCCCGCGGTCGCGGCGCCTCAGTCGTCGGCAGCGATTCCTGGCTGAAGTTGCCGTGAGCGATGTCTGCAACACGATTGAAACACGCCCTCCTTCAGCACGACAGTTTCACGTGGTGGCACCGATTCCCCGACGACGAAAGTTTCGTCGCCCGAGCAGGAGTGACGTCGTCACGAGACGAAGTCGGGCAGGAAAATGAAGAGGCGAATCGCGCGTGCGATTATATTCTCCGGGGAATTAAAAGTGCGATTCGTGTTGAAATGTTCGGTGGAATTTGAATAGGATTCAAATTTTCCAACGAGTTATAATTTCGTGCTTGAGAAACTCGACTGAGCGGCGAGAGCAGGGACGAGATAAAATGCACTTTGTCTGATGAATCGCGACGGAGCTTTTACACGTTTTTAAATAGAATTTAAATAAGAATGGTCGAAGATTGAGTATCGTCCGACAAATTCAGAGGCTCAATCGAGCGGTACGAAGGCAGCGAGATAAGACACGCCTCAGTTGTCTGATAAATCTCGACGGAGCTTATAGAAAGTTTTTTTTAATAAAATTCCGATGATAAAAAATCAAGTATTTTCCAACAAGTTCCAATTTCATACTTCGGAAATTCGAGAAGGAAAGACGCGCGAAATAGACACGCTCGGCAACGTCCCTTTCTCCCTTCTTCCTCACTCATCGCACCACTCTTCTCCTCAAAACACGTAAGAGGGAGAGCGGAGGAACACTCGCGATTTTCGCGCGGAGAGAAATCGCCGACGGTGATACACGCGCGATTCGAAGTAACGACTGCGTCGTCGTCACGACTCGAGGAGAACTTTCCACTCGCGAGACACCACGCGAAGTCATGAGCCGTATTTTGCGCGTATAGCGAACGCAAAATATGCCTTTTTGGATCCTTCACCCTGAAATCAATCGTCTCGTACGTGACGCTCGCGTGTAAGAAAAATGTCCCTTGGAACTGTGAAAGGGCATATTCAATGCTCGTATTACGCGTCTAAAGTCTAAAGCCGGATTCTTATCCACCGGCAATGCCTTTAGCGTGGAGACAATTGCGGTATAAACGGATAAAAAGCTGGGTTGTAGCAACAGTTACACTAAAATGACACTCCTTTCCTGAATCTTTTTGTAAAAGCTGGGCTATATCGATATTTTGCGGTATGAGTTTGCTATAGGAGACAGTAAATAGGAGACGAAAAGAGACATTCAAGTAATAGTTCCGTAGAAAAAAGCCAAATGTGTACACAAAACTTCTAAACAAATATTTAATACTGATCGAATTTCTGTATGGCCCAACGTCTCTCGTCGTAAGATACAGTCGCCAATTTCCAGCGCAACATTTTCCCCGAGTACGAGAGACAAAAGTCTGACGGCCTCCCGCCTGGCGGCCCGAAGGCCGAAGTCGCGGCAGCGTGGAAACTCGGAGGCATTTTGCGCACTCACCGGAGTCAAAGGTGATCTCGCTGATCATGATCCAGCGCGAGGCGAAGGCGAACTTGAGCTTGACGAACTTGCCGATCCGGTGGTGCAGCTTGATCGTGACGTTTCGTGAGTGCTCGAAGATCCGGTCCTCCATGTAGGAGTAGACGATCGGCTCGCCCAGGAAGTGCTCGCCGCCGACGCTGAACGTGATGTTGACCTCCGAGAAGACCTGCGAAGGGCGCGAAAAAGACGGCGGGAACGGTTAACACGTCGTCGTCGCTCGTTCAAACGCTCTTCAGCGCGCGTTCCTCGAGGCGCCTCGCTGCGTTAACCATGCCACTCGGAACTATCGAGCTTGATTGCCGCGGACCATTCGATCTATCGAGTAAAGCGCCTCCGTGCGTGCATGCGTGTGTGCCTGTGTGCCAGTGTGTGTGTGTGTATTGAGGACCACCGTGCGGAATTAATTTGATCGGAAGCATACCGCAGGTACTCGATTACGCCCGCGTAATCAGTATTATCGCCGTTATTACCATCAGTAGCAGATAACTAGTTAACGGCGCGCCAGGATGACATCGACGGTTTCGATAATACGGAGTATCTCACGGGCGCGTTCCGTCCCGAGGAGCCAAGGCTGTACGGCGGCGGGCCGGAGCGGGGGGATGCGTGGAATGCTAATTTCATCCCCCGAAGGCGCAAGACAATTCAGCGTTGGGGAATCCAAGTCTCGGGAGCCGTGCGAAGCGAGCGAGGGAGCGAGTAAGCGAGCTAACGTGGATACGAAGCGAGGGTGCAGAGAGAGAGAGAGAGAGAGAGGGAAGGAGAGATAGCGAGTGAACCGAAGCTAAGACAGCGTAGGAGTTAGGGACGAAGATTACAAAGCCGAGATTATCTAACTCCCTTAGACCCAAAGACGGAGGCGTATGGATTTTCGACGTACTGAAGCCTACCGCCCGCGGATGCGTCGGGAGAATGAGAGGAAGTCGACGTGGAGGAAGTGGCAGCCGCGGGAGAAGCCGAGGCTCACAGAAAGACGAGGGTGCGCGTCGGGATGGAGGAGAGAGAGAGAGAGAGGGGGGGGAGGGAGGGAGGGGAAGAAGCGAGCGAACGGAGGTGGCTGGCGCGCGATGCTTTGAAGCATCGCTGTCTTTCGGCGAAGACGTGTCCTATCCGCGCGAGTACGCGCGCCCGCGCGTGAGCGAGCGAGCGCTTGTTAATAGGAGAGGTCGTTTTAGGGGTAGCTCCTGCCACTCCGCAGCCCCGTTCGCCGAACTGCCGACTTGCCAGACTGTCGGTATTGTATTTGAATACGTGGCGTATCTGCTCTCGAGCGTCGTTGTTCGTTGCCATTGTACACGCGCTGCTCAAGGGGTGAAAGCGAGACACAGAAGGAGAAAGTGAATGAGAGAGAGAGAGAGAGAGAGAGAGAGAGAGGGGGGGAGGGGAGGGGAGAGGGGAGGAAGAAGGTATAGCATCAGCATCTCGCTCTATCTGCCGATACGTGGCGGAGCTCTCTCGGGTCTTCGTCTCCTTCGGTCTCTGTTGCGCGAGAATCTTCTCGCCCGGCCTCTCCCCTGCCCTTCTCTCATGCCCCGATGGATCTCCCCCACGACGGAGTCACCACTGTGGGCTGCATCCTCAGCCTCAAGACCGCCTCTCGTCGCCGACCTGCCCCTTGGTTCTCCTCGCTCGATCGCGAACGCACAATCGCGCTCGAGCCGGGTAATGAGGCGCTCTATTCAAATAAATCTTGATACCGCCGGGTGAGTGTTTCGGTGCCCGTTATACGCGGAGGTGAGATTGCCGCGTGCGCGCGAGTGCGTTTGCTCGTAACGACGACGGGGCGAAATTTCGCGGCTGCCAGCCCGCCGCGCGTACTCAGTTTCGTAACTTGGCGTCGTAATCGAGCGCGAGCGCGAGCGCGCGCGTAACGGGGATTACGTAAGCGACGACACCGCGAGTATTAATTATCTTCGTGCGATCTTACAGCTACGAGCGTGCGCGGGATGTGTAATTTAACAAGGGGGTCAAAGGGTGCGCGTTGCCCGTCGATCGACGTTGATTCTCTTCGCGGTGAGAGAGATGCGTAGTCGGCCGCGGGAAAGGTGTTGTTGCAACGGACTTTTTCCTTCGATAAATTTCGCTTAATTAATTTCGCTTAACAAACGTCGACGACGTCGGTGAGAGAATTTGCCGCTTCAGTCATTTGTTCGTTAATAATGTAATTTGCTCTTCGATCATTCGCTGAACAGCTCCTCGAGGTAAAAGTGTCTTTCCTCTGAGTAACTGGGTACTCGGCGTCTGAACAGTTTGAACGCGCTCTCTCCGCTCTCTCGATGCAGTTCGGAGCGCAACCGCTCCGTTCGGAGAAGAACTCAACTTTTGAGGATCGACGAGAAACAACGTTCTCTCGCCCGTCGTCGGCTTTCAAACTGCATCGAAAAGAGCGCTCGCTCCGTCTCGAAACCGAGTGTACTCTCGCGATAATTCTCGGCCGATGATTCCGCGAGATGATCGGAACGAGCGTTCCGTGAACTGGCGGCAGTTTTCTCATCCCGCCGGACGCTTTTCTTGTTTTCGCGCGTCGCAGCGTATAATTAACTGGAATCATTTTTCTCGGCCGGCGCAATTCAGAAATCCAATTTAGCCGGAGCCGATCGAGCGAGAGTCTCCGCTGCGATTCGCGAATCATCCCCCCGCCCCCGCCCTGAAATGTCTCGTTAAGTTTCTTTTTTTTTTCGTCAAGAGCCAGCGGCCTTTCTCGAAATTACGGCTTTTCCTCCACCAGCAGCCACCACCACCACCACCACCACCACCAGCGAATCACGAGCGTACGTCTACGTGCCGAATTATCTTATTAAAATACATCTCGCTGCGCGTGCCGTTAGCTGAGTGTTCAGCGAGCCATTATGTAAACACTCGGGCGTAAAAAGGCCGTGAGGGCGGGACGGAAAAATTTTCACGGAAAAACTGACGTTTCCCCGGCAAAGCCGCGACCGCCGCCGCCGCCGCCGCCGCTGCCGCCGCCGCGCCGCTTGAAGCGAAACGCGGTTCCAGCGAGCAGGCGCGCGGGTCGTTTCCTTTTTCTCCTTCCGTCCGTTTCAGCCGAAGCCAGGGGCTAACCGTTGTTGCGCCTCGTTACCCATCCTACGTCCGACCTTGACTCCGACGTGAAAACTGGATTTCATGCCGTACACCGCCGCCACCGCCGCCGCCTCTTCCTCCCTCCCTCCCTCCCTCTGCTCCTTCTCCTCGTCGCCTGCCACCCCCCAGCCCTGGTTTCTCCTTCTTCCTTCTCTTTTTTCCCCATTTCTCCTCTCCTCCCTCTCCCGATCTCTTTCCCTCCCTCTTTTTTTCGTTATTCTCCGGGTGTGGATTAAAGGCTGGCGGAGGATCTTCTCGTGCGCGCTCGCACATTTCGCCGCGACTGGCCGTCTTTCCTTTTTGCGCTTTTTCGTCTGTCCCCTTTCTCCTGCCCCCCCCCCCCCAGGCCTTTCGCCCAGACCGTCTACTTTATTCAGCAGCCGTTTCGTTCTCACCGACGAGTCACTGCGCCCGCGAGGCATTCCAATTTCCTCTCTATACCGTACGCGCGGCTGTTTACAGTTTTTCCCGGTTTATTATCGCGCGAGCACGCGTTATGCCGGAGCAGCTCGAGTTCGCAAGTGACGGGAGGATGACGAGTGTAGGCGGGTGGGTGAGGCTGAACCCGACGACTGGTCTCCACGAGAGGTCGAGCCTTCGCGTCCGAAGCTCGTGTGATAAACGTGCAGTTTACTCTGTCTTCCCGGCGTTCCGCAATTCGCAATGTGTATTCGGTTGTGGTGAAAGTGTCGATGAGATTCTATTCTACGATTGCCGCGGAAAGCAGCGAGGATGAAATTAGGGACTCGCGAAAGCTCGTCGGATCGTCGATGGTCTCGTCATCAGCTGGAAAAGTTGGTTGCTTTATGCGCCTTACGAATCGGGCAATAATTCATCAAAGGCTTAAGCGGAAAGCGTGGAAGGAGGTAACAGGCGCTTGCATCGGACATGACAATATCTTGTTTCGTTATTATAATGTTGTGCCTCAGGAGTCAAAATGATTTCACTAGCGTATTTAATTATTTTTAATTAATTATCGATATCTTCCATTCCCGATTATATTCAAGATCCTATGTCTATATCTATTTATTGCGGAATGAATTTTATCAAAGGCGTGGATACAATTGGAAGTCACGTGCTGAGGAAACGTGAGAAGAAAATGACGCGTTAATCGAGTGATTTTATTCGCTAACAGAAGAAATATCCCGTAAGTGGGAAACGCTTCTGCGCCAAAATCCAAAGAACTTTCGCACACCCTCGATATACGAGGGCGATTCGATTCTACGTGTTCCCTGTGCATTGGTGGAAGCGCCTCTCGTGCTCGAACGAACGTAAAGCGCCAAGCTTCGCTCCTCTTACCTGCACGTCCTTGGTGAACTGATTGTTGCAGTAGATATGAACGGCCGAGAACTCGCGCACGCGGTCGAACTCGAATTTGATCTCGAGCGGATGGCCGGACTTGGTGTCGTTCTTCCAACCGACCCAGCCCCCTTGACTCCCTTTATCGTCGTAATAGCCCATCTTGAAGTTGTCCGGCCCGTTCTTGCCGTCCGTCAGTTGTCCCAGACCGCGCAGTAGCTGTCCGTCCCAATAACCGTCGTAGGTCGCGTCGAAGAACTCCCAATTGTTGCGCTTGTCGCCCTGCGGCATCGAATACGAGACGATGCCGTCGTTCCATGGGCAACCGTAGAGCTCGACGCGCATGCAAACGGTGCGACGGTGGTAGCTATAGGGTAGGAAACGAATTTTGGTCGCCAATATCGGTGGTTGCAGTTCGTGCTTCGCTTCCAGGTAGGTGTTGGTATTAGCTGAGATCACCTGGGACAGAACATTCAAATGGAAAATTGCTCTTAGTGTCGTAGTCGTGCAGGTTAGCAGGTACTCAGTATTATCGGTTATAGCGCGCGCATTTTCTCCCCGACAAAGCCCCCCTCCCTCACTTTCTCTCTCTCTCTCTCTCTCTCTCTCTCTCTCTCTCTCTCTCTCATCTCTCAATTTCGAATTAACGTTATCTACGATCGCGATTGATAAATCCCGACACCGGATTCCAATTTCAAATCCAACTGTGTCTTACCTGAGAGGCGAGTTTCAAGCGACGGTTATCGATTAACACGCTCAAGGTTCTTCGAGAGAATCTTCGAGAGCCGCGTCGAAAGGTCCAGACTCGCGCGGACGATCCCGAAGTCTTATCGGCCGCCGACGGAGACACGCGTAACCGATCGTGATTGGCAGAAGGAAGTGTAACGTCCCGCTGAAGCGATACCGTCCGCGAGGCGCGTCGCGCGTCGATCTATCAATGAATAGATAGACACGCACAGTCTCGTCGTTCCATCCCGTGGCCGTTTCCCGACGGCGAACCCTTGGACCTGCCTGGGATGAATCAGCGTCCGTGTAACACTTTGACCCTTGCCTCATTTACGGACATTCAGCCGGCGACGAGATAGCAGACATTTTTCGCCGGCCCGTTCATATAAATCGCGCCACGCCACGCCACGCCGCGCCGCGTGTTTCCAGCCTCGCGACGTGCTCTCTCTCTCTCTCTCTCTCTTTCTCTTTCTCTCTGAGAAAATCTACTCTCTCTCTCTCTCTCTCTCTCTCTCTCTCTCTCTCTCTCTCTCCCCTCATCTTTCTCGCTCGCATAGAACAAGGCTCGTTCTATTCGATCGGCCGAGCGCGGTCGAAACGTACATATCGCTGGGGAGGATCAGGAATTTCTCGGACGACGGCGTCGAAGGAGGAGAGGCCCTTCGGAACAAAGGACCTCTTATTTTCCACTTATGAGAGCTCGCCTGCGCCTCTCGACTCGACGCTCCGCGCCCGAGCGAGCGACAGAGCGCGAGAGATTCTCACGTATGGTCGGTGTTACGTGACCGTGTAACCATCGCCGTTGTGATCCTGACAGGTGCGAACGCTCCTCTCTTCTCTCTCTCTCTCTCTCTCTCTCTCTCTCTCACTCACTCACTCTCACGCGCGTGCGGTCTCGCTCTGCCGCTCCATCCTGTTACACGCGAGCCGGCCCGTTAAGTCGGGCGTTAACCGGCGCCTTCGTTGCGCGTCGTGATCCCGTCGCGCCGTGATTTTAATCGATCTAATACGCTTAATCGAGTTCCCGCGCGATACGCGTCGCGATTGGATTTCATTGGCGAACGGGAGGCTCGTTTCTGCCGAGCGAACAGGTGCCGGTAGACATGAAGTGGATGCGGAAACTCGGGGAGATCCAATTGAGCGCTCGTTAAGGTGAACGCGGTGTGTACTGATCGACCCGTTAAGGACCGTGATTATTTTAGATATTGTTAATCCCAAGGATCAGCTATTTCTTCAAGGAATATTTTGAAATTGGCGTTGGACATATTTTTGCCGCGTGAAGACGTACACGGAGGAAAAATCTGGTCATGAGCTGAACCAGAGAAATTTCGTCCGCTTCGATTCGAAACGCGTCTGAAACGTGTCCGATGTAAAGTTAATTGAATCGAGCGTTTCCTCCAGCTTTGTCAGCGACACTGAAGAGAAAAAATTATAATCTTACGTCAGTTCCATCCAACGAAAAAGAAGATCAATCGAAACGTATCCGAAGTTTACATAGTTCCAAAACAACAGAAATGATTGTACCTGAAGAGTTCTCTCGCGCGTATCGTCTAACGGAGAATAGTCGTCGACGTGTATTTTTACAACGAGTGTTGCGCGTATTATTCGCGTCAGCCGGGATGTTTAGCGTCGAGTCTTCTCTAGTCTCGGCCGGCTATTCATTTTCCTACGAGGCAGTGACTATTTTTGCTTCTCCCGCTCCCTCCCGCCCTATCCGCCTCTCTCTCCACCAGCCAACCAGCCAGCAATGAACTGACTTGCGATCGCGATGGGAAACACGTTTGAAGATGATTCTCGCGACCGCGCGAACCGGCACGTTCCGCACCGGGTGGCGCGGTAATTGGGGCCTGGTAGCTGACACCGTTTTATTTGCGCCGCGACACCGGTGCCCGATGTTTAGCACATCGGCAGCGGCAGGAGGGGCGGGGGGGAGGGGGGCAGAGAGAGAGAGAGAGAGACGGCGCCGAGGAGGCGTCGGGGCCGGGCAAATACAATGAGCCGGCACGTGAGAAATTTTCTGCCGGGCGACGGAAGAAGCGCACCGCCCGCGTTTCGTGGGCGTTTCCGCAGGTTGACAGTTACGTGTATTGCCTCGCAGAGTGTACGTAATAGCTTCCTGTCTCTTTCTCTCCCGTCCGATGATTACGCTCGGAGGAGTGCGAGCTATTTTTGCGCGTCGCGAGGCGAGAAGGGGTTGAGACCTCTACGTGTCGCATTAATGGGACGCGAATTTGCCCCGTGGAGCGGCGTGCGTGAGATATTAATCGCTACAAAGGAAGGAACGCGCGAAGAATTTTCTCTGTCTCTCTCTCTCTCTCTCTCTCTCTCTCTCCCTCTCTCTCTCTCCCCCCTCTCTCTCTCTCTCTCTCTCTCTCTCTCTCTTATTCTCCCGGCGTGTTTCACGTACGTGAAAGATTCCTCCGCGATTCTAGGAGCGAGCAGGATTGGGTCAATCGGGAGTAATTTTCTCTCGGATCGTCGTGTGCTTTAAGGTAGACGTGGCGTAATTTCCCGTAATTTTTCGGGTATTTTCACGTTGACGTCCACGCGAATTTACCGTGAAACGATGGTAAAAACGAGCGAGCTATAAATTCGAGTCAGCGGGGTGGGGTGGGGGGTGGAGGGGGGGAGCGAATTTTCTTTTTCTTTTTGATATCAAGGTACATCCCGATGTAATTACTTCGCAATTTTCACGTCGCGCTAATTTACCGTGGAACAGTGCGCGCGAGATGTTAATTATTAAACGACGAGAGGCCGCGCAAAGGACGGGGAGATTCTGGTACACGCAAAGGACTCTTCGCCGGCTGCCCCCTTCCCTCAGCTGCTCCGGCTCGCCGTGTACATTAAGATATATCGCGATATCGTAATTTCTCCGCAACGTACACGCCATGTTTCTTACTCGGCACGTCGAACACTCGCCCGCGGAGTGTTTTGCTCTCGTTGAAAAATTATCGCGCTGTTAAATTATTCATCTCGGGGCAGCTCCCCTCCCTCCTGGCCCTTCCGGGCCGATGTTCGACCGCGGCGCGGCCTGTCGGGCGCGCGCCCGCCCGTTGTGTATTTTTTTTTCTCGTACGCTGCGTGCCTTCTTATTTCACATGCCGGGTTTCGTTTCTCGGATTCGCCGCGACTATCGAGCTTTCTTTACGGCGGTGACTCACGATTCCGCCTGCGGTCGCCCGGTCCTCCACTCGGCTCACCCCCCCTAAATTCTCCAAAGATCCGCGAATGAGGAGAACGAGCAGGAGGGGAAAGAAGAAGAAAAAGAAGAAGAAGAAGAAGAAGAGGAGGAGGAGGAGGAGGCAAATTACGACGGCATTTACGAGCCGTTGAGACGCCCGGCAGGAAAAATAAGTAATCTCGATATTTATCTTCGCGCCCACGCGCGTCGCGCAGGTCGGGTCGAGCCGGCTGAAGCGGTGCGCTTTGTCGCGACGAGACGGGCTTTCCTGAAATCGCCCGCCCCCGCCACGTGTTCGCACAGGGGTCCTATCTATTCTGGACACACGGCGCGAACCCTTGAGTGCATGTCCTCTCGATTCCAGGCTCCGCTTTTCTCGCACACGAGCGGCACGTGCAACTGTCGCATCAGCTTGAGGATCGGAAGGATGCGTTGGATGCGCGACGACCGCCCTCCCCCTGCCCCCGAATTAGCCCGCCTCTCCCTTCGCTACCCCTCATTGCAGTTAGTCGCGGTCGCGTTCCCTGTCGCTTTCGTCGTGGACGAATTCCTGCGAGCGGGCGAGGGGGCGACGGGCTGTGGCGCAGCATCGCCGCCCATTTTATGTTAATGTTTCTGGCAGCCGGGTCTCCAGCGGTAGCCCGCGCTACCGTGGAGGCTGGCCTCTCAACGGTCTCGGAGGCGGTGTTGATGGCGGCGTGTCATCGCGGAGGATCTTACGGTTTAATTGAGACGAAAACGTCCGCTGGGGTGGCGGCCGGCGTCACGCTCGCCGCGTGGATTCGCGCGTGTGACAATCGGCGTGATTTGCATCGGAATTGCATCGATACCAATATCGCGCAAGATCGTTGTTCGTTGGTCTGGCTGGCGCTCGCGAGACGTAAGAAAGAAAGCCAGAGAGAAAGAGAGAAACGCGGGTGGTTCATGGTGATAATTCCCGTCTGGCGCCTTTATTTAGTTTTTATCGGCCGACGACGATTGGATCGGATCGGATTCTAGGTCGTTAAATTTAATAACCGCGAGCGTTTAAAGTTACCGTCCGTAAAAAATAGGTGACGACAGCGCACGCCGCACGGTCTCTCTGCCGCCGCCGCCACTGACGGCGACGACGACGACGACGTTGTCTGCGCGAGCAAACGAGCGCGGCGGGATCGGGTTGTTAAGGAAGATTATGCGTCGGATAAGCCGAGTGTCGTTGTGTAATTAAGCGAGGGACAGCGAGAGCGGCGGCGCAGCGGGAGGAAGAGACACAAATTTCTGCGGGTTTATCCCCACCCGGGCGGTGCGCGTCTTTCTGGGTGGCCCCTTCTCGTTTCGTCGAGCAGGTACCCGCGCTTCGCGCTACGGGCGAATTATGCGGCGGGGATTTCGCGCGAGTGTCGCGAGATGAGGGATATTTCTCGGATACTTCATTCGTGTTGTTGCCCTTTTCTCTTTTATTTCCTCCATTTGCGGTCTCTCTCCCCCCCTGCCCCCGGGACCCCTTCATAACGGAGGACCGCGTCTCGCTTGAATTCCCGAGCGGTGTAGCCGCGTCGTGAATCAGTGCGCGAGAATAGTTCCCGCGTGTAATTTCTCCGTGAGCGGCGCGACACTTTTCAGAGCGCCGCTTAGCGCTCGAACGACGACGACGACGAGTCGAAGCGGCTGAGGAAGCTTTAACTCGGTTATTCGAGAAAAGCGACTTTGAAAAGAAGAAATGTCAGGTAGAGGTGGTTGTGAAAAAGCAATTGCAGAATTAAAAGAAAAAATTTCAAAGAAGGGTCTCTGGAGAGCAGTTTTATTCTATTGCTCGGGCTAACGTTGAGGAATTCGTTCGCTCTCTTTCGAAAAGAGCAGCAGGCTCTCTCTTTCTCTCTTTAATTATCGCAATGTTCCGCTCGACGATTCGCCTAATCGCAGGCAGAACGCGCGTTTCCGGTGGCAATGGCGGTACCAGCAGCGGTCTCCGGCTGGTCGGCACCGCCAGCGACGGCAGTAACTCGGCTAAAACTCGCCATACGCTCGACCTACCGCGACTATCCGCGGCTAGTCTAATCGTTAAACACGCGATCGATATCTCGACATCGGTTTGGATATCCGTTCCGGCATCTGGTACGGTTGGAAGTAGTACACTCATTCGCTCGTCGCGACGAGAGTACTTGTATGGAGGAACCTTGTATGGTCGCTGCTGGTGCACGTGGCAGCCGCCACCGCCGATGTCGTCGTCGTCGTCGTCGTCGTCGTCGTGTATCGAGGAGAATTTATCCGCGAAGGCGAATCGCTTCTCCACGAAGCTGCGTGCATGCTAACGCGTGGCTCCGACCTTCGGCTCGGGTGTACGTTGCCGAAGGACTCGCGTATTTCCGACCAGGTACCACCGCACGCGCCGCTGTGTATGTAGGTGAGAGAGCGGCTCGGACGAATCCGAGCCGCGTGCACGCTACGACCTTTCCTTCCCTCATTTTATTGATCCGCCCTCCTGTACAAATAAGCTCGCGTACCGCCACCCTCGCCTCGGCCGAACCGGCCGAGGAAAGTTGGTCTCCGAGCCGACGACGACGACCACGACGACAGGCGGACGCCGCTCGTCTCGCTTTCCTCTCGTCGCTTTCGCCAAATCGATGAATCCCCGGGTCGCGGAAGAGCGAGAGAGAGAGAGAGAGAGAGAGAGAGAGAGAGAGTGAAACAGTATTTATTGTCCTAGAGTGCGCCCTCTCGGGACATGCGATTGGCGCGGAGATTATCCTCAACCGAGTCGTGCCAACGAGCAATAGCGCAACGCAAATATTGCGATTCAGTCGTCCCCGTTGCCGCGCGCTGAGTCTGTCTCGTCGATTGGCTCAGCGTTGAAGACGCAAAGTAAAACACAATTCAATATTAAGAGAAATAAAACAGAGAGAGAGAGAGATAATTAAATGCAATACGAGTGTCTCGTTCGGTTCATCCTTAAAATAGCCAATTGAAACAATTCGGTTCAGTACTGGAGAAAAATCGAGCTATCGAGCGAAATACGAGAATTGCGGTTGGGCATCGCCTCGCTTACCGTTGAAAACGCAAATTAAAATTGAAAAAAATTGCACGTCAAAAAATAAAATAGAGAGAGAGAGAGAGAGGAAATAACCGGCGTAAGCTCCAAGCTTCCGCGTGCCGAGCCGCGGGTGTGTGCGAGCGTGTTGAGTTAAATCGGCGAACGCGGTGGCGAGTGAGTTTACGAGACGGCCTCTCGCACGCGCTCGCGAACGTTTTCTACGTTTCGACGCGCGCGCGCGCGCGCGCGCGGTATGCCGGCGATGGTTCGGCGAGTTTACGGAGATGGCGGAGATTTACAGATCACCGAGGAGCAGCAGCGTGCCGCCTCGGAAAAGGGCCGCTTTCTCGCGCTTGGTGCGACTCCGATGACCGAAATGGCTCGTGTCGCGTCGTGTCACGGCGGATAAATCGCCGGCGAGTCATGTTTTCGGCGAGCGAGTGAATCGCGCCGGTGAGCGTGTGATCAGCGGGCGACGCTAATTAAAGACTCGCGGGGGTTCTCATCACGCTTACCGGTGCGTGTATAACCGCGCGTGAATTACGTCACGTACGTTAGCCAGTCCCTCTCTCCTCAGCCTCCTTCTCGCACTCGAGAACCGCAGGTTTCTCTCTTCCTTCCTCTCGTCCGAGCCGAGCCGAGCCGAGCCGAGCTGAGCGCGCCGCGTATTACATCGGAGATTTACGTCTTGTTAACGTCAGGCTTTAGTTACTACCCGCGGTCGCTTCGCGGACTCGCGGACACCGCTACAAATCATTCGCAATAATCCGCGTGCGCGACCGCCCGTCCGTCCGTCCGTCCGTCCGACCGCTTTATGCGTATCGCCCGCGACTAAATTTAACCGCGTGGCTTCGCCTATACGCGGCCTACGTCTCGCGGCGAGCCGGCTTGGCGAATCGTCTCTCTACGACTGAATATCCGTGGAAGAGAGAGAGAGAGAGAGAGAGAGAGAGAGAGAGAGAGAGAGAGGAGAAGAGAATGAGAGGATGGATAGATTTATTTAACCCTTGCAGTGAGACCCCTTCCTTGAGGCATTATGATACAATGTGATAAAATTGGACGTGAATCACGAGCACACAGATGTAAGCGTGTGTTCGTGAGGAATTGAGTGCAACATTGTGTGGAGAGATAGATAAGCAGATAGGTGGATAGTAGATGTACTTATTTTGTGTATAGAGATATGTAGATGAAGTAGAGATAAGTGTATTTATTATCACGCCAGGCTCTCTGCCCTCCAACTGGAGGGAACTTTTATGGAATAATACATCACCGTGCATATATCGCGTGACTGGGAGGTGTATATTCATATCGATGTACAACTTTATATATTGCAAAAATCAATCGATAGTTTCGATAGCGGGGGGTATCTCTTCAACTTTACAGTATAAAAGATTATGCGTAAAGTAGCAGTTCATATGGTTTTGAAACGTTTTGTGCAATATGATTATATCTCAGCTGAACTGAGCCGGGCTAATCTCCTTCGGATGAATGCTCAGTGTGTAAGAGCGTTTACAAAAATTACGACGGTTGTTCTAGAGAAAAGAAGAGAATAGAGGTGGCGGGGAGAGCAAAATCTCTAGGAATCTATCTAGGGAGAGAGCAAAAATTACGGTGGATTGTGCACACTTGATAAATTTTGCGAGCTTTTCAGCGGACTTGCGGCCGACAAATCCCTGCGCGCTTTGACCCGCTGCCTCGCGCGAGCCTATAACCGCAGGTTCCGCACCGTTGCATTATTTCGAGGCACGCTACTGACCCCGAGCGCTCCTCCTGTCATATTCAGTAATCGCTCTCTCTGATAACGGCGACCCCGATCGCCGGTGGCCCATGCGACGTCATTATTGCGTACTCGCGTAAAGACGACGAGTCCGACAGGTTCGACGGGGCTTCCATCTCACTCGTACACACATACACGTACACACACACACATACTGACCTCTTCACCGGTAAAGCCCCTGTAGCGCACCCATTTTCCCAGCTTCGGCCGCCAGTACTCGAGCAAGTACGCCTCGGAGAACTCGGCACCCTGGCCGTTGCCGAAGCGACCCTGAGTGCCGGTCGCGGTGATCATGTGCACCGTGTGAAGATCGATTTCCAGCCACTCGCGCGGCTCCGTCGTGATCTGATGCTTCGGACACCAGGCACCGCCGTGGCTCTCCTGCTTCAGCCTGGAAGGACAAATATTTGTTCTGGGATTACGGACCTTTGTTTTCTCTTTGCCGCTTTCTTGCTGCGCTGCGAGCGCCGAGAGGCGGGAAAGAGAAAGAGGGGAAGAATGAGAGAGAGAGAGAGAGAGAGAGGGGAGGGAGAGAATGTGAAATTCTCTCTCTCTCTCTCTCTCTCTCTCTCTCTCTCTCTCTCCGGGGAGAATTCTTTTTCGCCAGAGGAGAGAAATAGTCTCGGGCGCGCCGATCGCGTGATGCTTTTATGGATTCATACATTTTTAGCCGCCATGTAAATTCCAGGGGTTTACCATATTTCGATTCGCGATATTCCCCGTTTATAGTTCTACACGGGAGCGCGAATACACAGTCTATACCCACACACACACACACACGCACACACACACACATATACACACACACATGTATACGGTATCTTGGAATTATGTAAACATCTCCGCATACGAGATGAACGGGGGAATATAGCGCGCTCAGCTTCGTAACACGAAAGACGACAACGTCGACGTTGTGTCTCGGAACGTCGCCCTTGGGATCCGCGACGACACGGCAAGAATTCGCGGCCGCGAACCGAACCCGAGCCCGAAACCGATAAGGAGATAAAGATAAAGATAGAGAGAAAGAGAGAGAGAGAGAGAGAGAGAGAGAGAGAGAGAGAGAGAGAGAGAGAGAGACCGTTATCGCACGACGCGAGCAGAAATGTTGGCGTGGTCGCTCAAAGGAAATCGTATAAATACGTGATCGGCCGCGTGTCTGACGGATAACCGTCAGCCCGTCGGCGGGCGATACGGGGTGAAATTATAATTTATCGATCGCGCCGAGGCTCCGGATGACATGAATTAAAGATGAGCCGGTGGCAGCGATCGTCGCGAGAAGCATCGCGACGAAGCCACTTCGTGCCGGCTAATAATTGTATTCGCGTATACCTTTCGCTGGCACGTCCGCGACGTCAAAAACCTCCTCCCCCTTCCTCCCTTGTCTCTTTCTCTTTCTCTCTTTCCATATCTCCACCTCTAATTCGTTCTGTTTTCCTCTCTGACGGGCCGCAACACGGCACTGTGAAATACGTCGCGAACGATTCCACGGCTCGTAAAGCAAGTCGACGAATCGGCGAATCTGCTTCTCTTCCACTCTTCTCCCCTTCTTTCTTTTTACCTTTCATTCTTAAGCTGTTTCTTCCTCGCGATAAATCATTCGCGCCGATATTGACCATGATCTCTTGCGATCGCGCCATTCGACTCGCTAATGTATTAATCGCGAACGCCTGTCCGCGCGGGATGTCCGCGTGCGAACAATACCGCGTGTGTAGAATGTTTTCGTTATGGGCTCGCGTTATTAGCCGCGAGAAGAGTTTACGAGGGGAGCGTTTCTTCCGTCGGGAACCCGAGGAGGTGGACCACGCCGGACTGTTTCGCGCGGAACGGAATGGAACGGGACGGCGACGAGTGTTGGCCGAAGAAAAATTCTAGGAGGAGACAGGAGGAAGGAGAGCAAAAGAAGGAGAGAAAGTTGCAGGAGAAAGACAGAAGGAGAACATAAGACTCTGAAAGGGGGGAGGGGAAGGTTAAACTAGGCGCGGGGTAGCTTGGCTGCCAAATGAATTTGCCGACGAAACTCGTATACGCGTCCGGCAAAAATGTTGTCGTGCGATAAAGAGGTGAGCTACCTGATTCTCTCTCTCTCTCTCCCTCTCCCCCTCCCTCCCTCCCTCTCTCCCTCTCTCTGAAGTGTAAGAACTTTAAACGTTGCTTTGACGCGGAGAGCAGTAAAAGAGGGCGATGGGTGTTCGCCTCCGCCGTGTCTCTCTGAAGGTGCTCCTTTTGACGCGGTTTGGCAACCAGACGAAGGAAAGAGAGATAGAGAGAGAGAGAGAGAGAGAGAAAACACGACGAAACAGCGTCAGAGTACGAGAAGACGAGGAGAGAAGTGCGGTAGAAAGAGAGAAAGAAAGGAAAGACGGCACATACGAGTGTGTGCGAGCGAGAGAGACTTTCGAAGGCAGCGAGGCGACTAGAAAGAGAGAGAAAGAGAGAGAGAGAGAGAGAGAGAGGGGGGAGAGAGACAGAAGTAATATCCACCACCGCGAGAGGGGTCATAACTCATAGCCCATTAAGAGGCCTCGAACTGGCCGGGCTGCCACTTTGATACAGTCCGGGGGCATCAAAGACATTCCGCGCGCGGGCCGGGCCCGCGATAAATCTCGGGACGGACGATTACGCCGACTTGAAGCCGCGAGAGCTGCCACGTCGGCGGAATCGGAGCGCGTCCTCGGGCGGGATCGAGAGGCCGATTATCGGGAGGAATGGTTCGTCGAACGAGAGGGATCGCGCGTCGCCCCTCCGACGGCCTTGGCGAGTGATCCGCGAGCGTTGCCGTTACTGAGGTGAATGGAATCCTCTCTCTCATTCTCTCGTGCGAACGTAGCCCCGGCGTTCTTCCGAGCGATTCTTCCCGCCCTTCTCGGGGAGCGTTTCGCCGTCTGTACGTGATTTATAATACGCGTCGCGGCTAACTATGTTAGGTTATGGACGTAATTAGATTTTGCGATTGATTTAATAACGGATATATTGTATATATGTCAATATGATACGATAATAAGAGGACGCGATGAATACAATATGAATATTATAATACATGAATATGAATGATAAGATAATGACAGGGATAATTGATGATTGTCCCCCTCCTCCGTAAAGAGTTACGTATTTCCAAATGTAGATTTAAAGGAAATTCATTTATTCGAGCTCACGTCGCGACGTCCAGATGCACAAGCGTTTCGCCACGTCGTGATTAACTCTGTTCAATCCCGTGTTGACAAAATCCCGGGAAACCTCGCGTGACATTCTCGCGTCACCTGTATACTTTCAATTTGCCGTATCTGATCACAGCCGTAAACTGCGCAAGATACATGAAGATTCGGTCGATGAACAGTCGGCGAGGCGACCGATCGTTTCGACGGCGTATCGAGCGGCGGCTCGATTTTCGGTAAACGGATAGGCAAATAGGGTATTCACCGGGAAGCCCGCAACATCGAGCGAAGCCTCGGCAATGTCGCGAAAGACGACGGCGAGTCTAATCGGGCGACGTGCGATCGGTCCGTCGCGCGTCGCGTGCGCGATGATGCGCGACCTCGCCGAAGGGACTCTCTCGCGCTGGTCGATTGCGAAATTGTCTCCTCTCGACACACAGACACACAGACACATACACACAAAGTAACACACACATACAAGTTTCCATCCCGATCCGACCGACACGATCTCAGCCTTGGCGCGCCTCGATGCGCCGCGCTTAATTTTACGCGATTAATTTCTTTCGTCGCCGCGCTCGCACGCCTCGATGATTGATCAGCGCTGACGGCCCGATGGCGCGCGCGCGCGCGCGCGCGCGATACGTACGGAATATTGAAAATTCACGCGCCGCGGCCGCGACTAATGCCTCCGCAGAATTTCAATTACGGCCGAGGAAGGGCGGTCGCGCGTCTTCCGCGCGAGCTCGCCTCTCGCGAGCCTTTATTAGCGCCGTAGGTGGTCTCGGCACGAGGATTCCTCCTCGTGTTTGGACATCCGTCCCAGCCTCACTCGTGCCGTCTCTCCTTCTTCCCTCCCCCTCCCCGCCATCCGTCGACTCGTACCGTTCCGTCTCGTGTTTGTCTCGTCTCGGAACGGTAATTAGCTGACGCGCGTAATCAAAGGAGTATGCGACGCGGGTATGCGGCGAATGTGCGCGCGTCTGCCACGACGACGACGTCGTCGTCGTCGACGATGATGACGATGATGTTCGAGGGGTCTTCGGTACGGTCGATACACAAATGGTACTACCGCATGCGGGATGTACCGGACGCGTCATTAATCCTCATCGCGCGGCTCGAAGGCCGAATTTAGACGTCGCGCGATTTAGTAGGACGTGATTAATACTCGGGCCGACCGCTCGAATTCTTGATCGTCTGGACTCCCCCCCTCTCTCTCTCTCTCTCTCTCTCTCTCTCCGGGAGATGACTGAGAGAGAGAGAGAGAGAGGGGGGAGAGAGAGAGGGAGAGAGAGAGAGAGAGAGAGAATCGACAGGATGACGGACGTATCGTCCGTACGACACGCCGTCGAAACGCCGTCGTCCTGAGCTAGTCGATGACGTATCGCGTTCCACGAAGCCGATGACTCCGCCTGGTCGGCTCGCCGTCGCTTCCGCTGGATCGTTGGAACGTCGAAGTCTTAAATAGCCCCATCGAGAGCGAGTTATGAGCGGACGGATCGAGAAGTTCGCGGCCGGGCTCTGCCGGTTAACACATATGCAAACACCAAGCGGAACTGACCAAAGTGCAGTTGCTGAAAAAGATACTAAAAGGTTGCTACATTCGGCACGGCCAGTCTCCCGACGTATTCTGTGTGCAACGGCGAGATGTATCTCCTGAGAATTATTATCGCGATGTGCTGAGATAATTATCGCAAGCTTGCAGATCGTCGCAGCTGTAGCGCGTTTCTGTCTTCTCAAGACGTAAATCGACGTTTCCGGTTGTCAGGGATTAAAACGCCAAGGATACCGATTCGCGCCTCTCGCTCCGCAACGTTTTAACGGTTAGCACACACACACACACACACACACACACATATATACACACACATACACACACAACTTGACGAGTGTAGGGCGAATGATCAGGTTCTAGGATTTGAATATATCGCCGCGTTATGCGCCGTCGATGTGTCGCCTCGCGGTGAGCGCCGCGCCGTTGCGTTTTTCACGCTCTGTAGCGGAGCTAATATGATGAAATTTCCGGATTTGTATTGCATCGGATACGTGCGATGCGCTGCATAAACGAATCAGTAATTCACTCACCGTCCGTGATGCGGCCCGACGTTTCCGCTGTCGAAGCTGGAGCTCGCAGTGATGTCCGTATCGGGAATCGCGCCCGACTCCATCCCCAGGGGTGCGATGCATTGTGCTGCGAATAAAGGAAATCGCTTCAATTATATGCACGCCCGACAGCGAGAACGAACGAATAGACGAGCGAGCGACGTGAACTTCCTCGCGCGAGATTCTACTTTAGGCGAGACGTCGGAGTAATCGAGCAGTGCGAGGAATTGTCCGAAATTTTTTTGTTTTTTTTTTTTCAGCACTCCGTTTCGGACTTTTAAACTTTCCGTTTCCGGCGAGAATTCTGCTTGGGCGCAATTTTCCAAGTTACTTTTCTTTAGTTTTCAACGTTACGTATCTGCCGAGTTAAGGAAAGAATTCAGCAAAATTCCACCTAGAGCTCGTCATTAGGACTCGTTTGAACCATTTAAACACAATTTCCAACTTTAATTCCAGAGAAGGGAGAAACAGAATTTTTTATACTACTTCCTTAAGAAAATTTAGCAAAAAAGTTTAACCTCTTGGAAAGTTGTAGTAAAGGTTATTACATGTGGTAATAAAATTTATTATAATCTACTAATAAATGTGTCAACGAGATAATAAATTTTATTACAACATTATAATTTCTTAATCGAAACTTGCCGAGTTTCAATGTTTTGATTAAATTCTTTTTAGAAACAGGACATTTTATCCCTTGCTGTTAATAAATTTATCAACGACAAATAAGCTTTATTATGTGCCGGAAGCTTTTTAGTTTCTCACCTATTATTTGAGAATTTTCTTGCTCGTCCAGAGGATCGAACGATTATCCTCCAGAACGAATTTGCAACGAAGTCGTGGTGCCCTTCTTTACGGCGAGAAGCAAATCTCGAGTTCATCGGGCTTCCGTTATGCATTGCAATGTTGCAAGGTTACTTTTTCCCAATTAAAGCCGCGTGATTCGCTCGAGTCGGCGTTCCGGCAGGTTTCTCTGGGCTCGAAGAAGAAGTCCAGCGCGCGAACGGCGCTTCGGAGCGCCCCGTTTTTGCCAGCTCGCGATAATTACGGCGCATGACGCGATACTGGGAATTCCATTTGGAATCGAAGGCGAATAAGTGGTGCGGATGACCCGAAATTATACGAGCCAGCTCTGGCTGGTCGGCCGGCCGACTGGCTGACGATCAAAGCCGCTGCTCGCGAACGAGAACGGCCGTTATACCTTGAGTGAAGAGCGGTCAAAGCGGATCTGTTGGCGTAGCTCGAGATCGCGCCAGGATTCTCGGGAAACGAGCGGATGATATACAGTTCTTTAGCGAGAAATCGCAGCGAGAGACGACGGCGGCTCTTCGGCAAACTCGATAAATCCCGCTGGAAAATTCAGTCCCGAATGGCCGTAACGACAGCTGTTTCCTGAAGCGTCGTCGGCACCGTGAACGATTATCGAGCTCGTTTATTCGTCCGACGATCTTGAATCCACAAACTTTTCCTCCCTCGCCCATCCGCCCGCCCGTCCCGTTCTTCATCGTCGCGGAAGTCTGGCACCGTCGTCCGGAGGACGTCGAAAATAAGAGGGTTGTAAACATCTCGTACTTTTTCTCCGAGCGCCGCTCGCGAAACTTGGAGTCGTCGTGCCGGATAGGAGAAGGGAATAAAAATTTATCGCGACGCCCGCCAAGATTCAGACGCCCACTCGCACGAACCCCTTCAATGGCGGACCCCTTAATGATCCCTTAATGATCCGTTAAGCGCGAGACACCAGCGAGTCGGACAGACGAGACGTCTTCTCACTCTCTTTCTCTTTCTCTCCCTCCCTCCCTCTCTCTCTCTCTCTCTCTCTCTCTCTCTCTCTCTCTCTCTCTCTCTCTCTCTCTCTCTCTCTCTCTCTAGAGGTAGAGAGAAAGAGGCGCGAGTAACAATTCGTAAAGGAGTAAAAATAACGCCGCCGCTTCTCCCGTTATATCGCCGTTCCTCTCGCAGCGCTTTATTTCCATCGCCCGTAGAGACGGAGAAACAATCACGCGTGGCGGAATTTCCGGTAATCATCGGCAAGCCCCGTGGCCGTGCCGGCCAAAAATACTCGCGACAGAAGAATACTCTCTCGGGCGTCGCGACTCTCGCCGCCGGTCGCCATGGTCGGAGGGGGTGAAAAATGCGCCCCGACAAATAAGAGCCGTAATCGGTGCTCCCCGGCAGTGCGATCCGCGGAGATTCCCGGAAATCGATCGTGGCGCGGTCTGCTCTCGCTTCTTCCGCTGCTCGGTCAGGCGTCTCGCGCGAGCAACGAAAGTCGCATCCGTCGCCTGCCGAATGGTTGGGGTAGGCAGGCAGGCAGGCAATGGAGGCAGGCAGGCAGGCAGGCAGGCAGGCAGGCAGGCAGGCAGGCAGGCAGGTTCGATTCTCGTATTTATAGACATCCTGGAAAAGAGCGCAGAAACGAGCGAGGAGGAGGAGGAGAAGGAGGAAGAAGAAGAAGAAGTAAGTTATGCGACGTTTGGCCCGCCCCAGCCACTCATTCGGCGACCATAACTCTCAGGGAGTGACAGCTCCGAACGGAAGGGTGTGTGCCGCCCTCCATCCGCGAGAAGAGGGAAATTGAATGTCTTTGCAACCCTCCTCGCGCACGCCGCAGCTACGTTCTTTTCCCTCTCCTTCTCTCTCTCTCTCTCTCTCTCTCTATCTATCGCTTTTGCTCTCTTCCTCTTTCTCTCGCTCTCCGCCTTTAACCGCGTCACTGTCAAACTGATAACCGCTTCTTTCTGAAGACGGCTCCTCCGCGAAACCCGAGACAACCACGAAACGGTCGACGAACAAGCGGCGCGAGAGAGTAGGGGCAGGGGGAGAGAAAGAGAATGCAGTACGCTTGACGAGAGGCAACATGTAGATTGTAAAAGAAAAATTGTAATAAATTCCCGGCGAAAAATTCTTCCGTCATGCGTGTGCGTGTATGTGTCTGTGCGTATCCGACGCGTGCACCGCCGCCGGGTTTTGTACTTGTCGTTATTTGATAGTCTTGGGATTCCACGAGCGCGTTACGAGCACCTAAGGAAGGAAGGGGGATGGGGGGACTCCCCTGTGCTTCTATTTCGTACATGTTCTCGCGTATGTCTACATGCACGTCGAGTTGATAAACGATTTTCCGCGGGTCCTAAAATACCGAAATAGTAATTGAAATGTTTCTCTCTCTCTCTCTCTCTCTCTCTCTCTCTCTCTCTCTCTCTCTCTTTCTGTGTGTGTCTCGCTCTCTTTTTCCCTCCCGCTATCTTCGATGCATCTTATTCTCTCTTCCCTTCCTTCTCTCTCGCTCTCATCGTCGAATCCAGACCTCCACACGCTCGAGCTGAGGCAACTCAATGAGCGCGGCTCGCGCGATCTGTTGGGGATCTAGGAATTGCACAATATCGTAAATCTCCTCTTTACAAGCGCGCGTGCGAGCGAGCGCGAGCGTCGTTTGTCCTCGCGCGACGAGCATCCACGTCGCTCTCGAGTAGCGAACCACTCCTTCTTCTCCTTGGCAAACTGAGAATGCTTCGGGATTAACCTTTAACACCGGCGCGAGAGTCACGTCTTCATCCGCGGCCGCGTGAGAAAGAGATGGAAAATGAGAGAGAGAGAGAGAGAGAGAGAGAGAGAGAAACAGGCTCGACTCTAATAATTTAATACGCACTCGGGGCGCCGCACGGGCGGAGAAAACCATTACGATACGTGGAAATCTTATAATTCTTCCACGTAATTCTCTTTCTCTTTCTCTTTAAGAAAATACATTGGCACGGAGGGGCGACGGGCTGTATAATTTGAAGCCGCGTGCCGCCGCGGCGCACGGCGCGGGCTCGTCGCAGTGGCTTTTGCACACATCACGTCCCGTCCAATTTCGCGGTTCCCACGTTTCGCGGGCTGGTTACACGCGGAGTCAAAGATACCGGCCTTTGCGCAGATGAGCGCGACGAATAATTAGCGCGGCTTTTATAATAATGGTAAAGCAAATTGCACAGAAGACTAACGAATCTCCCGGCAAATTAGGGCGACTGGAGGACGGGGCGGAGGTGGAAGGGAGTAGGGAAGAAAAATAGAGGAAGCGTAGGGTTGTGAGAGCGAGGAGCGAGAGAGAGAGAGAGAGAGAGAGAGAGAGAGAGAGAGAGAGAGAGAAGAGAAAGAGAGAGAGAGAGAGAGATGGTAGACACCGACCGACAACACAGCGCGGGGCTTTTCTATCTCGGTGAATTTAATAATTCGCATCGCCCTTCCTTTGTTAATTCCGAGATTATTATTAATGACGGCGCACCGGAGCTGAGTCGCGGTCGGCTTTCGGTACGCTCGCTCGCACTTCTCTTCTCGGGCGCGAATGTAAATTAATTACGCACCGGGACTTTCACGAAAAACATATTAAACCTTCCCTGCGTCCTCCCTCTCTTTCCTCCTTCTCTTTCCTCCTTTCCCTAGCCGGCTCGTTGCAGCGCGATATTAGCGTATAAATCATCACTCGCACGCCTAATCTCTGGTTTAACGCAATTTCGTTCTTCTTGCTTGTTTTTTGCTTCCTCGTTCCTCTCTCCCTCTCCCCCGCTCTCTTCTTTCGCACGAAAAGGTCGATCTCGGCTAATCGCAATGTAGACGAGCTGTCTCCCGCACGAGTGAGTTCAAACGCGTACCTTCAAATGTCACGCGAACGTATTAGCGCGTGCGCGCGCGCGCGCGCGAGTGAGATAATCGCGAGCGCAACAGCGTGTGTCCCTATTAATTGCCTCCGGGCGAAAATGTGCCGAAAGAATCGTATGTTTTGGCCGAAGCGTCGCAGCGAAACGCGAATCCCGGATCTCCGGGAAATCTCGCGAAACTCGAGACTCTTCTCCCCGAGAGCGCCACACACTCGGTGTATCGTTGTGTATCAGGTGTCAGGTGTACTTTCATACCTGCACCGTCGCGACGTCGAGATTAAGCGCAGATTGAATTCCCCCGTCGCGACTCGAAAACTATCCGCTGACTCGTGCGCTAACGATAATCACCCTCTTGTCTCTCCCTCCCTCCCTCCCTCCCTCCCTCCCATCCCGCCTCTCCGTTTGGTCGCTCGCTCGCGTTACTTCGTTACATTCTCGTGCCGCGAAATTCGCAGGT